AAAGAAAGAAGAAAGAAGAAGAAGAAAGAAAGAAAGAAAGAAAGAAAGAAAGAAAGAAAGAAAGAAAGAACCTGGCAGCCAAAGGAAGAACATGCCAGTTTCTTGGGTGACGTCCAGGTATTTCGGAGCGGCTCCAGATGTGACTCACGCGGCAGCCCAGCGAATGGAGGAATGAAAACACGGAGGGAGTGGAGTGAGAGAACGGGGAAGTGGGGGATCCAGGTAGGGGAAGGGAGCTGTGAGAGAGGAGGGCCAGGGAAACACCATCAGTGAAATGAGGGAATGAGAAAGTGGCTCAATAAATAAGTACAAGGGAAGAAGAGAAGGAATGGGTAGAAGGAGAAAATCCCCAAAGAAAGGAGTAGAAGTAAGGGAATGAGAAAGTCTGGTGAAGAGATGAGTGGGCGGGAAGTGGTTTGTGGAGTTATATTTCAGGGCTGGCCCCGTAGGGAGAAGAAAGGATGGCGGAAAAGCCCAGATCAAGGAGTTCAGGAAGGAGAAAAGGAGAAACCCCCCAGATGGAGAAGTAGAAAGGAAGGAAGGGGAAAGAGAGGTGTGAAAGAAGATTGGTTGGGGGTCACCCCGTAGAGAAGCGTTGTCCCTGTGAGGGAGAGGGGAGGAAGGCTAGGAAAATAGTTTAATACTGTAAACAAATGGAAGCGGGCGGGTGGGAGACAAAGGAAAGGAGGGAATGGGATAATCTGGCAAGCGGAGGAATGGAAACAAAAAACCAGGCTTGGAGACGAACTGCGGGGTTTGCTCCAGGCGCGGGCCGTGAGGAAGGGACGAAGGAGCCACCGGGAAGAGGGAGGGAGGAAAGCCGTGGAGTGTCTGGCTGGGGAAGGGGTCAGGGCGAAAGGAAGGAGCGCGAAAGCCGCCCAAGGGAGGGATAGACGACGTGCGGCGAAGGGCAGAGGGTCGAGGAAATGGAGCCCAGCGAAGGAATGTGAAAGTTTTGGGCAGGCGAAGTTTGGCGTGGGGGAGGAGGCGAAGCGGGCTGGGAGCGAGGGAAGGGGGAAGCGGGCAAAGGAGGAGTGCGAAGGGAGCGTCCTGCGGAAAACACCAGCCCGGGGCTGAAGGGAGAGGCGGCTGGTGCCGCGCTGGAGGGGAGGCATAGGCACCTGGGCAGAGGGAGGTGGGGGACTTGGGGCCCCCCAGGAAAGAGAGGCCAGGGCGGGGGGAACAGGGGTGTGAAAAGCGGGACTCTTGGCTTTTGGAGCGGGGGCAGTGGGGTATATAAGACGAAGCCCCCGATAGCGGGGTCCCCGGGACCGGGCTGTGGGCTCGCCCCGGGAGGGAGCGGGGTGACTGCGGCGAGGACAGACCCAACGGCCGGGAGCGGGACTCACCTCGGGGCTGAAGTTGGGGTCCCCGGCGGCGCCCCGGAGCAGGGCGATCAGCACCAGGGTGGCGGAGAGCAGGGAGGGCGCCAGGCTCGGCGAGGGGCTCATCTTCCTTCCTTCCCTCCCTCCGCGGCGACTGGCCCCTTCCCTCGCCTCGCCGCCCCGCCGGACTGGGGACGTGGGCAGCGCCTGGCCCCACTTAGAGCCGGGGGCGGGGGCGGGGGCTGGGCCGGGCCAGGCTGAGGGGAAGCGGGGAGCGAACCGGCGGCGCATGGAGCCACCTAGAGGAGAGACGAGGGGAAGGGACAGGGGGAGAGATCTAGAGAGCTCGACCCAGGGGTGTCTGGGAGTGGATCCCGGGGTGTTTGGGGGGATAGATCAGGGGTGTCTGGGGGGATAGATCAGGGGGTGGATCCCGGGGTGTCTCGGGGGATATATCAGGGGTGTCTGGGGGGATAAATAAGGGGGTGTCTGGGGGTGGATCCCGGGGTGTCTCGGGGGATAGATCAGGGGTGTCTGGGGGGATAGATCAGGGGTGTCGGGGGGTAGATCCAGGGTGTCTCGGGGGATAGATCAGGGGTGTCTGTGGGGTGGATCCCGGGGTGTTTGGGGGGTGGATCCGGGGTGTCTTGAGGTGGATCCCGGGGTGTCTCGGGGATAGATCAGGAGTGTCTGGGGGGATAGATCAGGGGGTGTCGGGGGGTGGATCCGGGATGTCTCAGGGGATAGATCAGAGGGTGTCTGGGGTGTGGACCACGGGGTGTCTGGGGGGATAGATCAGGGGGTGTCGGGGGGTGGATCCGGGATGTCTCGGGGGATAGATCAGGGAGTGTCTGGGGGGTGGATCCCGGGGTCTCTCGGGGGATAGATCAGGGGTGTCTCGGGGGATAGATCAGGGGCGTCTGGGGTGGATCCCCGGGTGTCTCGGGGGATAGATCAGGGAGTGTCTGGGGGGTGGATCTCGGGGTGTCTGGGGGGATAGATCAGGGGTGTCTGGGTGTGGATCCGGGATGTCTCGGCGGATAGATCAGGGGGTGTCTCGGGGGTGGATCCCGGGGTGTCTGGGGGTGGATCCCGGGGTGTCTCGGGGGATAGATCAGGGGTGTCTGGGGGGATAGATCAGGGGGTGTCGGGTGGATCCCGGGGTGTCTCGGGGGATAGATCAGGGAGTGTCTGGGGGTAGATCTCGGGGTGTCGGTGGATGGATCTGGGGGTGGATCCCGGGGTGTCTGGGGGGAGAGCTCACGGAGGAGCCAGGCAGACAATGGTGGTGGCTGAAGAGAGGCAGACTGAGGGGGCTGGTGCAGGCGGGGGGTGGGGGCTATGGGGCAGGATGTGGGTCTCTCTCATCAGCACATTTCCCACCATCGGTTTGTTCCTCTGGGTCTTTGATCCTTTGGCTGCTGAATCAGCCACCTCTCATTTCGCTAAGGGAGGCCTCGACCCCAGCTGGGGTCAGACAGGAACCCAGGAGTCCTGGCTCCCAGCCCCCATCACCTCCAAACCACTAGACCCAGCTGCACTACCAGAGCCAGCGACAGAACCCAGGAGTCCTGGCTCCCAGCCCCCCTCACCTCCAAACCACTAGACCCAGCTGCACTACCAGAGCCAGCGACAGAACCCAGGAGTCCTGGCTCCCAGCCCCCGCTCTAACCACTAGCCCTCACTCCCCTCCCAGTCCTGTCTGGCTCCCAACGCCTCCCCCCCCCCAACTCAAGTCAGGGACCTTGGCTGTTTTATTTAGCAACATGAAAGGACAGACGGGGGGGGGGGTT